CAGAGCCCGAGAGCTGCCACGCTCCCCTTTGCTTCTCAATGTTTAATCAGTGGCTCGGCGCCCGAGCTCGGCTGGGGCTGCAGCTCAGGAGCAGCCTAACGGGGGAACTTCCATGGGGTTTTATTATTTTTTTTATTTCACGTCCCCCCAAATGCCATGTGGAGCAGCTCTTTGCAAACCCGAATTTGCCCTCTGCCCCTGCTGCCTGCTTGGGGTTTTTTTTTGCTCGCTCGGGCTCCGTGCAAAGCCCTGTGCTTTCCTGCAAAGCCGGGGGCCAGGCTCAGGCAAGCACTTTTGCTCTCAGGGGGTTATGTGAGCTGAGTTTGCCCGGCCTCAGCCCAGGTGCGTGCCCAGAGAGGCGGAGAAAGCAACCCAGAGCAAACCCTCTTCTGTGCCCAGCTTGCAGCCCAAAAGCCACGTGAAGAGGGAAATTTTGGATCCGTTCGGATCAGCCAAGACCCACGTACCTCCTTAAACTGTTTTTCTCAGCAAAGGGAAAACCCAAGCCACTTCCCTGCCGTCTCAAATGACATCTTTTGAGCAGGCTTCTGGGTTTTATCCCCTCTAAAAATAAAAGAGCAAATCAATATAAACCAGGATTGCCCTTCGGGGGGAGAAGGAACCCGGCTCGCTCGCCCCCTTTTGCTCTTTATCGGTTTTTTTGCAAAGCTCTCTGCTAAATTCAGCTCGGTCGGGAGGTCACGTTGTGGAACCACAGCTGCAGCTGCAGGTCCCCATGCTGGGACGCTGCAGCCCAAAGCCTTCACCCGGGTTCTGGCGGGGGGGGAGAAAATGGTGAGTGCTGGGGACACGGAGGGATTGCTCCGGAGGTGCTGGGGACACTGAAGGATTGCTCTGGAGGTGACAAGGACACGGAGGGATTGCTTTGGAGGTGCTGGGGACACTGAAGGATTGCTCTGGAGGTGACAAGGACACGGAGGGATTGCTTTGGAGGTGCTGGGGACACTGAAGGATTGCTCTGGAGGTGACAAGGACACGGAGGGATTGCTTTGGAGGTGCTGGGGACATGAGGGGATTGCTCTGAAGGTGACAAGGACACCCAGGGACTGCTCTGGAGGTGCTGGGGACACAGAGGGATTGCTCTGGAAGAGATGGGGACATGGAGGTATTGCTCCAGAGGTGACAAGGACACAGAGTTATTGCTCTGGAGGAGATGGGGACACAGAGGGATTGCTCTGGAGGTGACAAGGACACAGAGGGATTGCTTTGGAGGTGAAAAGGACACAGCGTTATTGCTCTGGAGGAGATGAGGACACCCAGAGACTGCTCCAGAGGTGCTGGGGACACAGAGTTATTGCTATGGAGGTGACAAGGACATGGAGGGATTGCTCTGGTGGTGCTGGAGACATGGGGCGATTGCTCTGGAGATGGCAAGGACACTGAGGGATTGCTCTGGAGGTGCTGGGGACACGCAGGGACTGCTCCGGAGGTGCTGGGGTCACAGGGTTATTGCTCTGGAGGTGCTGGGGACACCCAGGGACTGCTCCGGAGGTGCTGGGGTCACAGGGCTATTGCTCTGGAGGAGATGGGGACACCCAGGGATTGCTCTGGAGGTGACAAGGACACAAGGCTCTGCCTAATGGCAGGGTTAGGGTAACAGTTGGACTCGACGGACTTGATGATCTTAAAGGTCTTTTCCAACCTAACCCATTCTGTTCCATTGGAGGAGCTGGGCTTGGGGCCCCGGTGGCACACGGTGGCCGTGTGGCCAGGGTGTGCGGTGGGAGGAGGGCACCCTTTGTGGGACTCTTCCCTCTCTCCATTGCTGCCTCCATCCACCTCCTCCTCTCCATCCCTTCCTTCCTTCCCTTCCCCACCCACTGCTGCTTGTCC